CTTGGATTTGTAATATTGCTGTTTTTAATACCATAAATGGCTTTCTGCACAAGGACCCCAAGCGTGTGATGACTTGTTTTATCTGGACTCAACAGAGAATATGTATTTGTTTTGCAGGATGAACAGAAGTAATACTTGGGACTGTCAGCCATTTTGCTAAATGCTTTATTGGACCTTAATATGAATGAGAAAGCTGAAAAGTTGCCTGGTAAGGGATGTGCTTACCAAATCCTATTCTCAACTACAGAATTTTTCTGCTTATAGAAAATAATTGCACTTATTTTGCAATTGCAGTGTTATTTACAAAACCATACATCTGCTTTAGACAGACTGTATCCCCACTGGTGCATGGTAGGTTTTTTCCACCTTGGGGAAAAAAAAATCTTGTTTTGTTTCTGCACCTTTAGGTACACAAGTAGCGGCTTATACTATCAGAATTGAAAGTTACTGAAAAATCTTTCTTAGCTGAGTTTATTTGGAAGAGTTGCATGCAAAGCTGGTTTCTGTTTCTCTTTGTAAATAATTAGCTATCAAGCAGTGAGTAATTGACAGCTTTGGAAATAAGTGACAAGGATTTGAATATGGCATTACCAGTCCTTCCTACTCAAACTTACAGAAGGGACCTTGTCAGGAATCTGAAACAACAAATAACACATACCTAGATGTTGGGTTTCATAGATAGTGTGGCTCTGTGTGCCCCATTTTTTGGACCTTATCTGTACCTCAGTCTCCTATTATTTTATTAACCTCACTTTCAAAATTGAGCCACTCTGCAGTCATCATCACCTTTGACTGCACATAACTGACTACATCATACGAACTGACTTGCACAAAACATTCAAAAGGTGTGGAAACCATGTTTCTGTGTATTTCATCTTTGGATGATCTTGCCATAAGCTATTTAAAGAGGACACATCAGCTTCGTTTTTATTTTAAAATAGCTTTTAAAAATATGTGTTTCCTTAAATTGAGATAATCTGGTAGGACATCTTTAGAAGTTCATATAGATGTGGCTTGTTCCTAGTGAGATGTATTTATAAATCAGACTTACAGTGTTTATGGTCACCTTTTTCTTGATGAAGTTTGTGTGTGATGCCCTGCAGCACAGCCCTGCCTCATGCCCCTGAACTGTGGCACTGGAGTGGCAGTATCCATCCCAGCATTGCCTTGACTTTGTCTTTGGGCTTAACCCATTGGGTTTTTGTTCCAGAGAAGTAAGGGTTACACTTCTTCACAGCGAACACACCCTATCCTATGTGAGACTAAAATATTACAGCAAATCCACTCTCTTTCCAAATGACACTTCTAAGTTCATGCTCACATCTGTACTTGTGAACTTCAGGTAGTAGCAGACTGTGAGATTTGCACGTGTGCATGCAGCATGCACTTCCATGCACGCACAACAAACATTGGGAGAATAAATGCATGCAAAACTGTTACAGTTGTGCCCAGAATCTTTCATATTTCCAACTCAAGCTTGACAGTTCTGTTTTGTTCCTATTCACAATGTAAAATCTGACTGACAAAAAGTGACTTTTCAAGTCTGTAGTTGGTGGCAGCCAGGCTTCCAAAGAAGCTAAGAGCTACAGTTTTAGGTTCCTGTCTCTATGAGAGTGAGCCCCTAAAAATATGCAAGGCCAAAAAAGGGCTGAGTCTTTTAAAGGTAGGTACCACAGTCTCTGCAACTTGCATGTTCTGCTGCACTGAATGGGAGCACATTTCCTGTGTGTTATAGCTCTGCTGGGCTCCTGATGCAGCAGGGAGGCTTGGCTGATGGCTTCAAGACTCTCTCTCTGTACTTTTTGAGCAATTGGTCACGTACAGATCAGGTTTTGGAGTGTCAAACTTCCCGGGTCCTTTGTCTTGAACCAACTGTTACTCTACATCTTTTCTTCATGGGCCCTATCTTTTTCCAGCAGTAGATATTTACAAGCTGTAAAACCCTTGATATTCAGAGCCATCATTAACCTGTTAGGCAGCTGTCCATCTACTCTGCTTGTGAGCTTTGGCCAGGCAGTTTCCTGAAAACTTATTTCTTGGATCACTCTCCAACACCAAGAGGCTGTTGGAATAAGATATCCATCCCAGTGTAAACTGTCTCCGTAAGGTCAACACACTTACCTTGGGGCAAAGGTCTAATTCTCAGATCCTTCTTCCTCTTGTCTCAAAGCAAGACTGAAATTCCAGTTTTCCAGCATTCCAAGAGAGGGCTACCAGCATTCCACAATGGGTCTGGCTCGCTCTTTCTGCTTAAAGTGGTTCCACTTGGTAGCAGCATTTCTAAAGAGAGAAAATAAGCCTACAGAGTAGTGGTTGGAGAGCTCAGGAGGACTGTGTGAAAGGCAAACTCAGCTCTCTGCTGCCCTGAAAGCATGCCTAGAGCTACTGATACAGAGTGGGAGTTTGAGAAAGTGTGGTTTGGGGGCTTAGCTTTGAACAAGCAGCTAATTAATTAGAATATTTTGAGCTGGAGTTCCATGAAAAGTGCTGAGTTCTTTAAAAAAGAAACAAGCAAAAAAATTGGTATCCAACTGTGTGTTTCAAGCCCCAGCAGGCTGGTATTTGTTAGCCTACGTTTGATCATTGTTAAAAGCCACAGGGAAGAAAAATCAGCATCACCCGCACATTAGTAACTGGATGCCCTCTAGCGAGACTGCCAGACTCTCAGATCTATCAGTTCTTTACTACCGTAGAGAGAACTGGAAAGACTTACACATTGTAATGTAGAGATGGAGGAGTGCACATCCTGTAGTTGAGCAGTGTGTGGAATGCCCACTGAAATCAGAACTCCATGCCTGCTCAGTGTGGCCCTTCACAGTCACTCTGAGCTGTAGCAAAGGGGTGACTGTTGTCTTCTTTTTGCTGGAGCCACTCAGCCAGGTGTGCACCCAGGCTCTCTGGGTCTGAGTATACCATATGTTACTTTATCACTGGTCACTCACAAGTGTGCTACTTACAGACGTAATGCAAAAGGAAATAATCTCTGCAGAGTTTTTCTCATAGGAATTCTTTCCTCTAATGTCAAGGACCATCTCAGTCTGCAGGCCGGGCAGGTTGGTCGCTCCCCTGCAGCAGGAGGTATGAATGTTGTGTCTGTTATTCCCATTTACTGAAGGATGTCTGAGGAGCACCCTGAATTTGTTATTTACTCTCTGTGCCTGAGTGCTGTAAATGCATCAGACAGCTGCGGCTGGTTTCTGTTAGCATATGTAACTAAGCTTGGAAAGAGAACTTGTGTTTTGGAGCATCTTAGGAACATTTTTTTCACTTCTGCTTCTCTAAAGCCAACTGAAGATTCCCTTTACTGTGTGACTGGCAGGATTGTGGGACTGAGAGACAACAACTTCAAGTTGCACAGGGAAGATAGCAGGAAGGATTAATCTAAAATTGCCATCCAATTGGCATATTTTGGAATTTAACTTCTAAGTAACCTTTTTTTTCTTTTGAACTACTTGGTATCTATTAAAATCCCAGCGCATTTTCATATAAAAGCATTTTTCATTGGATGTAATTTGCAACATTATTTCCCAAGCAACTATTATCCCCCAGCAACACTTTGATATTTAGGTGCTTGTCAAACACAAATTACAGTTCCACTTTCCCTTTTGTCCAGTTTCCAACTGAAAATCAAACTGAAAATCCAGCTTTACTGGTGTTGAGGAGGAGGGTTCCACTGGAAATACATGTTGAACCATCTGAACTACAGCTGTCCAAGTGGAACTGCAAATGCCAGGTATGAACCTGCCCCCCTCTCAGCACGAAGAGGTAAAGGCACGCATAGAACGGAGCTCACAGCCATCTGCTTCTGGCTCAGGAATGAAGCTATCTGCTGCTTCTGGCTCAGGAATGAAGCTATCTGCTGGCTCAGGAATGCTGCTATCTGCTATTTGCATCAGGTGCTGGTCTCTGTGCGCACATACTGATGATTTCTCTTGGATTCAGGTGCTTTTAGAGATGAGTCCCTTCCCGCAAGGAAACCTGAATCACTGCTTTGCCTCCATTTCAGTGCTTTAGTGCTAAAGAATTGAATCCAGGTCTCTGAGAAGTGCTCCAACTTCTTAAGTTAGTCTATTTTTGAGTATAGAGTGAAGAGGGGATGGGGGTGCAAGTAATCTGTCTTCTCTAGTGAAACTGTTTTATTTAGGATATGCCACTAGGGCAGAGTCTGGGAAAAACATCTGCAGAGAATTTTCACAATTCACTGAGCAGAATGTCGCTAGCCTTGTAGAAGGATAATTGGGCAGCTCATCTCTGGTTCCCCACAAAAACTTAACTCTGAGCTCAGCATTGGCTCCTTTTCCACCACCAGCTATACAAATGTAAACAAGAAATTCTTTAAGATGTAGAAGGACTCACAGTGACAATGATTCTGTGAAAACAATTTGCACAGAACCACAGCACTGCTGTGGGCTGCTGCCAAAGTTGCTGATAGTCATCACACGTGGTCTCTGTGGCTGAAGAGAAGGCAAGATATCTCTCACTATAATGCAGACTAAAGCAGCATGAGACACTTGTTCTGTTACGTTAACATTTGCAAGTTCTGTGCTAATTCAGGCACGGACCAACATTCCAAACTTGAGAAATTAATGTGCAAGCCAGAAATGAAATTTCCTCATTAGTAAGTATGACTGTGTGTCTTTTTCCTACCTTCAGAAGTCAAGTAACAGGATTAGAACAGGAAGAGAGATGTGACATGCATCATAGGTAAACAGCAGTCATCAATCTCTTCCTGTGACAGTATTAAAAGTACAGTTACTCTAATCAGCTCCGGGTTTCCCCATCATCAACTAGAACTTGAAATTTCCCTTTCTGATTATAAGTGGTTAGTACTAGAAACTTTTAATCAGCACAGCAGAAGAGGGAAAGACTATTGCAACTAGGAATTTCTCTCTCTAAAAGAAAAGATAAAGCAAAAGCATACTTGGTGAACTGCTTAACACTTCAAAATTATTTTTGAAAATGTAGTGTTATCAGTGTAAGTTATTAAACACATCACATCGTTAACTCGCAAAACAGTTTTATTTCACACTATACAAAGTTAATACACATTTTAAAAAGCTTACAGTACTCTAGCTTACATCTACTGCCACTGAACGTCTAAATAGTGGACTTCACAGATCTCTGAGGTTGTTATGGCTGTGAGCAGGTTTAAGCCTACTGTGTAGGTTAGAGAGGGTCTATTCAGAGAGCAGTTCAGAGTATGAAACTCAGAGGACTACATGCCAGCTTCACATTTGCACGCTAATGAGAAGTGTCAATAAACACTTCCCCTTTCCACTGCTGAAAGTAACTCTCCCCATGGTGGGCCCTTACAGCTCATCAGAGCTGAGGCAGCTGTAATAAGGAGCCAAACAGAGATATGGATTAGGGTATACAGTTTCCCCAGGCTGAATGCTGTATCATGACACAAGGATAAATCCACCTTGCAGAAGCAAATAATCAGATTTCAAGCTGTGCATTGCTGCTATGTCAAAATAGGATGGAAGTGTGGCTCTCCAGTAAATTCTGGATTGATAGTATTATATAAAAGAAATATTCAAAAACTTAAAGTACTTGATAAGAATAAAAAAGGGTGTGATACCTGAAATGAATTTGAACTGCATGGATCTAAATATATCCACAGGTGTCCAAAGTGAGCTATTTTTTCACTTCAGATGCAACTTCTCTCTGCTACTTGACTCTAAATAGCTAGAGAGAACTTCCTCTACTGTGCCTTAGAACTGTGCTTTCCTTAAGTACTTAAAATCATGGCATAATAACAGTTCCGCAAAGTCTCTGGAGTAACAGCAATGGCACAAAATGTTGACTGCTCATACTATAAACTCTGAAAATCCAAGCAGGTAAGACTCAAGTAAGCCAGTTTTCAGATATCAGATCATAGAATAGTTAAAGAAAAGATTGTTTACTTACGGCATGCTGCTTGGAGTGAAGAACCAAAAACTAGTTATATATGTTTGTTTCCCACTATGTCTAAAATGAACTTGCTCGGAGAATACAGTGTTTAATTACAGAAATAAATATAAATATGCAATTGATTTCTGAGACTTTCGTGGAAATAAACAAAAGGACACAAAAAGAACCTAAAAGCCTTAAAAGGAATAAAAATACTGTAGTTGTACTTTGGTTCTTTAAGGTGTTATGAGATGATCTTTTTATTATGTAGCCTTGGGAAGGTGAGACTAGGCTTCTCCAAGAAACAGCAGTAATCTTCACAACCCAAGTGAAATGTTTTCAGATTGTTTTAATTGTCTACTTAAGACATACCATTCTTTATCCAAAATGGCAATTAGTGAAATCTTCATCTGGGAGCCTGAGGAGAAAGGGACCCTGCCGAGAAAGGGACCCTGCCTTGCCGGCTCACTCATCCTTCTTTTTCATTTCTGCAATATTTTTTTTATTTCTGCAGTATCTCATTTGAACAGTTTGTTGGGTACCAGAGCCCCCTCCCAGCAACTAACTTTGGTGAAAGAGAAGAATGAGATGAAAATCTGTCCTTTCAGACTTTCATTACATAGCGTAATAATATGCAGGAGACACAAACCCATTTTTAAGTCTTTTCCCTGTCGTCTTTTGGAACAGCTGTAAGGCAACAAATCTTAATATAAGCTAGTTTTCTTCATGATTCTCAAAAATTCTTGCTCACTTACTTCTCCATCTCCATCTCGATCAGCTTCATCAATCATTTCCTACAAAACACAGAGTATATCTGATCAGGCACTGGGCTTGACTCTAAGCATAAGACCTTCTATTCATTAAAAAACAACAAATCAGAAGTACTTAATAAGAAAACAGAACTGTATATTTTATTATTCTGAGAGGTTAGAACCTCTCAACTCTTTCTGTATTGCATGAATTTCCCACCCTGTCCATAGGAACTCCATGGATTGGGAAAGCTCTGGCAAATCAGAATTTACCTGAAGCTCTTCATCGGTTAAATTTTCTCCCAGCTCCTTGGCAACCCTTTTCAAGTTTTTGAATGAAATCTTTCCTGTCCCATCGTCATCGAATAATCTGAAAGCTTTCAAAATTTCTTCCTTTGAATCCTTTTCACTCTAGAAGGAAAGTAAAATATTTATTACTTACAAAACACCTGCTACTGTGATAGATCCTTTTATAGTATTCTTTATGCTGTCCCAAGATTATATAGATGTATTGTAAGAACTCCTACCATTTTTTGTGTCATCATAGCCAAAAAGTCTTCAAAGTCAATGGTGCCACTTCCTTCTTTGTCAATATCTGCTATCATTTTCTTAATTTCTTCTTTCTTTGGCTCAAAGCCTAAAGCACGCATCGCAACCTGTGCCAAAAAGCAATTGTGTTAGGAGGCTGCCAGAACTCTAAAGGAAGCAGCTACAAGAATTTTCTCTTTAAAACTGTAATAACAAGTCATTTCAAGGAAGACATCCTGATAGCTCTTGCCTGTGTGTTTTATCTTTCATATTAGTAATAGAGTAGATTTGATGTCTGTAAGACTCGTGTATTTTCTCTTTGGGTCCATGTGGAACATAGATGTATTCCTGAACCTGAGAAACTTTGTGTCTAATCTACTTTTCTAATCTACACATTACTGCTGGACTAAGGAAAAGAAAAGCAAACTTTGAGTCTTACAGAACACAAGTAAAGTACTACTATAAAAGTGGGTATTGCTGTTTAGAGGGTTGTACAAATGCTTAATGTTGTTTAAACCAAACTCTGGTATTCTACCAGCCTAGAACATTTACTTTGCTACTGGAAAAAAAAAAAAAAAAAAAAAAGACTAGTAATTTGCTGGTCCTGGTGTGCCAAATGATTACAGCATATTTCATTTAGAAACTGAAGTTTCAAGAACATATAAATAGAGGAGGATTTGTTCAGTTAATATTGATTCCTTCTGCATGATTTGGTGGAAACAGTGGCAGAAATTTTCATGGTAAACATTTTTCTATTGGGAAGTGTTAAGTCACTAAAAACTTCACATTTATCTGAAGTGTGTTTTCTGACTAATGCCTTGCGATGGGATAACTCGAAATATTTTACTTTGTCTTTCAGAGGGGGCACTTTGGATCCCCTTTGGATTGTAAAGTATCCATATTTTGGAATTAATTTTCAAAAAGTAAAACATAGCATGAGGTGGTTGGTGCTACACCATTTCAGTCCATTTTAAGAACTGTATTTTCACATGCATAAACTGTGTTCAGATAACACAGTCGCCTTAATCAAGTATAAGGTACAGCCAGATAAATCCTGAATTAAGCCATAGTTTAGACAACCTGTACTTTTAGGTAATGTGTGCAAAAGCTGAGGTAATGTGCTTCTATGTGAGGAATCAAGGTCAAGAAGATAAAATGTTCAGACTTGGGGGTAAAAAAAGTAAGGCACTGTTAGGGAAAACATAACAGAAAGTAAATTTCCCCTTGTACCTCCGTGTGCATGCACACACAGACATTGCCTGAATTGCCAACTGAAGTGCAATTCACATCTCTGTTTTATTCTTTTTTAAATAAAAGAACAGATAATCTGTGGGTTATATGTATGAAAAAATGGTAGCATCTTTCCTGAGTAAGCGCAAGATCTATGTGTTTACCTCCAGGATGAAGAAAACATTTTGTGTTCTGGTAGTCATCCTAAAACAAAAGAATTCCAGTTCCCAGAAACAATGGCCTCAGCCAGTCATGAAAATAGAAACGCATACAGTTAGTTCATGTCTCATGCTCAGACATTCAAAACTACCTGACCAACTAGGCATGCATTAGAGAAGTCTGGCAGCTCTCTATTACGTACAGGTTTCTCAGGTCATGCATGTAGTATACCCCAAGTTCAGTCATGGCAGTAAGTCATTACTGCTATTCATAAACCTAACCCATTTTAAACCAGAGCAAGTTAGGCCTGGGCAAATAGATAAAGCAGCTGCAATCTCGTGACCTGTGATACTTCCATCCAAGAAAAAAAAAACTTTGAAAACCTTGAGTTCTTTTACATCAATGCTTCCAGATCCATCAGTATCAAACAGATCAAAAGCTTCTCTGATCTCCTGCTTTTGCTCTTCTGTAAGTTCAGGTTTCAAGCCACTTTTCTTTCTCTGGGCTGTACTGAAGCCAGGTTTTCTATAGTTGGACGCCTTCAGAAAGAGGAAAGATGAGAAAAAGCTCACTCAGAAAAAAAGTCAAAACACAGATAAATTATAAATAACAGTAAAGGTGTAGCAAAAGTGAGAAACATTCTTTGCTGCACCTGGTCGACTGCGACTGGGTCTCTACGTGCATTTTCCTAGATGATTCCAGAAAGGAACCGAGGTGAAGACTTTGTTCTGAGGGAAGAAGTGTCCGGGCTTCCCGCGTTCAGCTCTAAGCGGAAAGACTGCCCGTTAAAGGCAATGCTAGAGAAAGCAGGCAGACAGCCTCAAAATGAACCGCTCGTTTGGGCCGTGACTGGAAGCGGGAGACAAATTTAGGCAGTCCTCAAATTCGGTACTGAAATGGGAGGCCTGAGAGCATCGGCTCCGTTGGTGTTCGGTGCTTCCCCGCTCGCACCGCAGAGCATCTGTCCCCGCGGCGCACGTCTGCGCGGCTGGATGCTGCGGGCCCGCCACGCTCCCCAGGTGGGGACGCTGCGGCCCTGGAGGCAGCGCGGTGAGGGCCCGGCCGTCGCCCGCACCCTGCAGGCTCCTCGGGGCGGAGCGGCGCGGGCCGTGCGCAGCCAGCCCGGCGTAGGGGAAGGGGAAAGCGCTCACCATCTGCTTGCGGCCGCCGGGATCACACGGGACGCCGAGACGAGCTCCCCACCGCCACGCGCCACGACCAATCAGCGAGCCGGACGTGCCGGAGGCCCGCCCGTCTGCTTCGTCGGGACCAATGGAGGCTCGGCGGGCTCGTGACGCCACGAGAGCGCCGCGCTCGCGGCGCAACGGCGGCGGGGTCGCTGTCATGGCAACGGGGCGGTTGTGAGCGCGCGGCTCGGCCCGCCTCGCCGCCGTTGAGCCGCCGCGGGGATCCCGAGGGGCGGGCGGCGGGGGGAGGAGAAGGCCGTGGCGAAGCGCTGAGGAACCGGCGCTTCCTCCGGCCGGCAGGCCGCTAGCACGCGTGCAAAGCTAAGCAGCGGGTGTGGGACCCGGCTTTTGTACCCGTCCGGTTCTGTCCTAGCGACTCCTACAAGCGCCGTGTGCGAACGTGACGGGCGGCCTCGAGCCGAGCCGCGTGTCGGCCCTTTGCTTTCGGCCCGCCGCTGCGGGACGCGGCGTGCAGGCAGAGGAGGCCCCGCGTGCGGCCACGGCCGTCCTCAGCGCTGGTCTCGTTTGTTGAGCGGCTCTGCAGGATCCCCGCTCCCCTCTGCTGAGCTCCATTTCAGCTTTTCCACCTCAGGCTGGATGGAGAAAGAGGTAAGGGGCAGGCGGGGGGAGAAGTTAAACGGGGGTCTGCTTTACGTTGATCCCTGGAGCGTGTTCGTTCGTAGTTCCATCTTCTTGCCAAAGCAACAGGTAAAACCAAAAGGTGGAAAAGTATCACGATTACCCGTGCCAGAGGTTGTGCAAGCAACAAAATACGAGCGTACCTTCCTATAAGTGCATGTCCTGCTTTCATCGAGTTTTGCAGCCAAGTCCTTGGGCCCATTCAGTTCAGGTTTATGTACCTGCAGGAGAGCAGGCTGGTGCCTAGAACAAAGCTACTTAGTGTGAGTATAAGCTGAAAGTGAAAGGCACATTTTTCAACTAAATCTTCAGAATGAATTTTAGCTAAGTAACTCCTTTTGGCTGCCTTGAGATTTGGTGAAAGCGCATTGCTTTGATAGCTGCATCAGCTGCACAATCTGTCTTGTAACCTGCTGTGGTTCTCACAGAACTGTAGGAGTTGGGAGGGACCTCTAGAGATCAACAAGTCCAATCTCCCTGCTAAAGCACATTCCCTGCAGGCAGTTGGATTGGAAAGTGTCCATTTGGATCTAAAGGAGCCTGGGCAACCTCTCTGGGCAGCCTGTTCCAGTGCTCCATTACTCTGACAGTAACAGACTTTGTTCCACTGTTAGTATGGAACTTCCCGTGTTCCAGTTTCTGCCTATTTCATTTCGGATGTTTCACGTTTCATATTGGATTCCATGATCTAATGATTGTTATTTAATTTGGTCATTGTTTCAAAACAGTCTAGTTGTGATATTAGGTTAAGGTTTCATTTAAGGGCAAAGAAAAAAAAAAGGCTTAAAAAAATGTTTTTACTGGAAGTACTGATGTGGTTGCATAGCATGCCTAGTCTGTTGTCACAAGAGACTGCCAAGAAAAATTTCCAGAGAAAAGCTGTAAGGAATTTGGATGGATATTTTCAGTAGTGTACTTCCAGTGCAATTTTAAAGCCAGGAGTAGGGATTGCAAATAACTACAGAACAATACAATTTCTTGATTAATATTTGTTTTGATACTTCAAGAGTATCTAGCAATTGAAGTTCTATTGGCAGTTTGGAGTGGAGTAGAACATGACGGCTGTTGCCATATAAAGGTTATTTCTGATGACCAATGCTACTTTTTAAATTCCCACTTTGTTTTCATTTGAGCTAGTATTTGGATGAACTTTCACTGACTGTAGTAGCAAAAAAGGTTTTGATTTTGGAATAGTTCTGCAAAGAGACCTTCAGAGAGATGAAGTATTATTGGAATCTGGACAGAAAAGGTGTATGAGTTGTGACTTCTTAATTCTTGGTATATATACTTTTTTCATTTAAAAAAAAAAAAAAAAAGGAGCTTTAGCTTAATCCATGTGGTCTCCCACAGGAGTGTGGTGTGGAAAGGATTTTAAGGGAGAGAAAATTTATTTTTGGCGTGTTAAAACTGAGTAGTCAACCAAAACTTGAAAATCTTAAATGGAGTATCAATGCGTGTTAAATGGAATGAATAGAATTTGGAATAAAATAAGTTTTATGTTTTTCCATATTTGAAAGTTAAATTCAATGGCATAGCTAATAGTACCAAGATGGATCTGTACCAGGCCAATGGTTTTGTGTGTAATTGTCTATTCAGCCCTACTTTTGTTCTAATTCCAGATAGCAGGTCACAACAGAACTGAAAGTTCTGTTAGATCTGTACTGCTTCATGTTTAAGAAACCACTGGAACACTGGAATCAATAGCATTTTACTACCTGTCACACACACATGCACACACACACACACACACACACACAAATCCATGATATTTTAGGAGTGCATTCTTTTAGCAAGTCTGTGAGTTGCTGTCTCAAAATAAATGCACAAGATAAAGGATTTTTGTAGAATGCCTCACTGGAGATCTCTGTTCAGTGTAAAGGGAGGTGGTGGAGTTGCCTTCCTAGTAGCGTTCAAGAGGTTGTCTGGATGAGGAGCTACGAGATCTGGTTTAGTAGCCTGTGGTAGCAGTGGTAATGGGAGGGTGGTTGGACTAGATGATCTTGCAGGTCGTTTCCAACCTTGTGATTCTATGATTCTATTGTATGAAACTGTTAATTTAGTATTTTTTGATGTGTTCTCTGGAGTACTATGAGGATGGGACAGTAAGTTTGTGTTCTGTTCCCAGATGCTGCACACTGGCCATGGCTTTCAGGGCTGTGAATTCAAGAAGACATATTGGACTCCAGCAGCTCTCATCCGTGGCTTTTGCTGGACGAACATTATTGGGACCAATGAAATCCTGTAAATTTGTTGTGGATGAAAGCACCAACGAAAGCATGTTGATTTGTTCTGCTGTTAGACTGATGGAAAGTTTGGATTTAACTAGTGCTGCTGGACAGCTTCTTAATGAAACCATTCAGGCCCAAAACAAGGAATTTAAAACTGGGACGAGTACCCTGTTGTTCCTTGTTGGTGCGTGGAGTAATGCTGTACTGGAATGCCTCCAGCAGAATGTTCCTGTTTCAGCAATAGTGTCTGTGATGTCTGAGGGGTTGGACTCTTGCTGTGAGAAAGTCCAGTGTCTTCAAATATCAGTGCATGATGTAAACAAAGAGCTGTGTTCTAGCAGTGTTAGGCCAAGAACTTCTGAAAGTAAAGTTTCCCAAATTCCATGCGACAGTTCTCTAAATCATCAGATTTTTCTGTATTTTCAGAAAGATATTTCTGCATCAGAAGAACCCATTCCAAGAAATTCTTGTTTCCCTCAGGAAGCTGATTGTAATTCTAATAAGGGCCTGGTTTGGCCTTTGGCCAGCTTTGGTTCAGTAGCTTCCCTTGTCAGGTCAGTGGATAACAAAAGTAGATCTGTGATTTCTGGAAGTGGTGTCTCTGCATCCATCTGTAAACAAAAAATATTAACTCACAGCAGATACTTCAGCACTGTAGCAAAAAGCCACGTTTCAAGTCACCTACATGATTCTCAGGTATACCTCTCAGGACAGTCAGTATATACTTGTGAATGTTATGGTTTAGGACACCTGGCAATGGCTCTAAGCCATGGAAATCAGCCTAGCATGAAACTGCTTCAAAGCATTGTTGCATATCAACACGAGAGAGCAGAATGTAGCGGCTCTTCCCAGTTCAGTATCACAGAAATTGCAACATGCTGTTTACCAGGTCTGCCTGAGAGTTACTCTTGTGTTTGCCCAGGTTTTATCACTCTAGTGTCACCAGAACAAGCCACAGTCACCAAATACATTCAGGACAAATCCCTTTGGATTCTGCTAATGGATGGTGACCTAACCGAACACTATCGTCACTTAGGTTTCACTAAACCACGGAATGTAAAGACTGTACTGGAGAATCCTAGCCTACAAGAAGGTGGATCAAGAGACTCGTGGCTAAGTACTGTGCTAGACATTCTAATAAGCTTGGAAGTAAACTTGGTTTTGGTCAAAGGAACTGTGTGTGAAAACTTAATGGAAAGATGCATCGCAAACAATATATTGGTAATTAGTTCTGTGACTCAGAATGTGTTGAGTGCCTTTGGGGAGGTGACCGGTGCCCAGCCCGTGACGTACCTCGCTCAGCTGAATGCTTCTTGCCTGGGGAGCGGGGTCTGGGTAGAGCTGTGGAAGGGCTGCGACGAGCGTGCAATGGAACTGGGTCAGCTTGTGCCAGTCAGAATAAAAGCACAGGGAATTCCCCTGCTGACGGCCCTGCTCACCACCACTGTAGCTTCAAAGATGCAGCTCATTGAAGACCAGTTTTGGACTTTTGTGTATCGACTCCATCATGCTTTAAAGGATGGGAAGGTTTTTCTTGGCGGTGGTGCAGTTGAGTTCTTATGTCTTAGTCACAGTCAGATGCTTTCAGGGCAGTCTTCAAAGCTAGCAGATAAAAATGCTGTGAAGGAGTTTCATAGTACTCGGCTGGCAGCATCTTCATCAGAGTATAAAGCAGTTGTGCTTCAAGCACTGGCCACTGGCTGGAACCAGTATCTTTCCATGGTTATGTGTAACACTGCAAAAGCAGCATCGGAGTTTGAAGCACATACCTTAATTGATCATCACCTCCAAAAAGCAACTGACTGTGGCTCTCCCTCAGCGTATGTACTGAAAGAGTTCAGAAGAGGTGGTATATTCGGCGGTGGTTCTATTCCTTTCACTGACAGTGAAGAGGGTGTAAAGGTTTATGATAATGTTACAGCCAAGATGGAGGCGTGGCGGAGAGCTCTAGACGTGGTGCTGCTAGTGCTTCAAACAGATGCCGAAATCATCATAGGTCCCAGAAGGAGTCAGCTATTAAACTCACCTTCATCAAGTGAATTTATGTTTTTGTAGGACTTGTAAGCTTGGTTTTTTTTTCTTTTTTTTTTAATGAGTCCAGGAGTCATCGGGTGGAAGAAGTCTAGGTACAACCTACATTTCTTCAAAAAGCGAACATTTAGATGTGGAAAGGACTTGAGAGTATAATAGCAGGAGTCTCCATGTGAAACAGTAACAAGATAGATCTTATTTCCCATTTCTAGAAACTGGAGTTAAATAAACCAAAAATCACTGGTGAGCTAATCTCTAACTCCAGCCATGCGTTCCTAACTGGTGATATTGTCTATATGGGTAGGCTAATCCAGTCCAGCTGACTTTTCTAGCTTTATGTAGCAGAGCAGATGTGCAGTTCTTTTTTTCATTATAAAGAGGAGCACTGTGAAGTCAGGTTGAACAAATGTTAGATTCCCTGTATAAACTTCCAAAATGTACTGTCTGTATGAGGTATTTGCACTCGTATACAGTAAAATACTTAATATCTTCTAAAGAAGGGGCTTTCTTACATAATGTTGGCTTACTTGTCTGCGTTAGACCTAAGAGATAATTAAGATCATAATTCATAATCGTAATTCATAATTTTTACTATCTTGCTCTTAATTTCTGTGCATTCCAAGTTAAGCTCAGAATAACTTACGACTGTTATGTATGTTAAGGTAAGAGATTGTATTAGTTGATTCTGTGTTTGCATAATTGTATGGGCAATACGTTTTTTATTTTGAAATATATCCCCTTTGAAATTTCTCAGGTTTCTGTGTAAATTCCGGCCGAACCCTCCCTTTTTGTGTTACAGAGTGGATATAGCTCTACACAGTTTTGTTTCAATGGCAAGTTGAAGTTTTAGATTATTTCCTTTAGGTTCTTTCAGATAGCCGTGTGGAGAAGAAAAGTGTAATTATATCAGCTGTTTCCTAAAGACTGACAGTGAATCTTACCTGAATGATTGAGGCACAGCCATGGTACTGTGTCTCAACTCTTAAAACTGAAAACAAAACAATTCAGAAGTGGCACTTTGTTGCAAGAAAGAGGTTTGTAATATATGTTTGCAAGAGGATATTTTTTCTGAAATGAGCATTTTACATAGTGATGTGTTGGATGAAAACAGAATGTAAAGAGAATGGGAATGTAAAGAGAATTAGGAATTCACTTCAGGAGTTGATTCTCATTAAAATGCTGATGGCTAGCAGTACTTGGCTTAAGCACTTAGCCATTCTGAGTTCTGGTGACAGACAGTCGGGTGGTGGTGAAATCTGAGAATTGGGGTGGGCTAACAAATATGTTTTCTGGGTCCTGATTCTCTGGGCTTACTTTCATTGTCGTATGTCTTCACCACAGAAGATGCTTTAGAGAGGAGCCATCAGCTGTGTCGAATCCCTGTGGTCTTTGGCAGTGCCCCAGTACCTCTGATTCCTGATGGAGTTACTCCTTCTGCCTCTGTATTTCATGGTGCCAAATTCCAGAGAGTTTCAGTTTGTGGAAAGGAAAGACAGTTCCTAAAATGTTTCTCCCATGGTGCCAACCATCAACCTGCAGCGGCCTTCTATGCTGTATACATTTTTTAGCAAATTCTGTATACAGCTCTTTCATAGAGCTGTTTGTCAGAGTGGTTTATGCTAAGTGAATGACTGTTTTATTTAGCATATAGGGTAAAGAAAGACATAGATAATTAAGTTCATCCTTAAATGTTGTAGGTGCCTATAGATGCATTTGTGTATGAAAGTTATGTTGTATGTTATGTTGGTGTATTTTCAAATGTTGCATTGAGAGCTCTCATTGCTGAATTTAACATTTATGTTTTCTAATTGAATGTAAATGGAAGGTCTTTACGAAGGCTAAGGGAGCATATGAATTGCAGTTACTTTTTGTAAATATCATGAAATAACTTTTCTGTTTGTGGAATGCTGTGCTCGCAGTATTTGGCCACCACTCATCTGAAAGTATGCGTATTTTGCTTTTCTTACAAACTCCAGAAATCAGTGGGTTTTGGTAAAATCTCGTCAGTAATATACAAGTTTGAAGGAAAAGTTCTTAGCACCATCCAGATCTATTTTAAAGTTGTAATCATACTGCAATTATATTTTAATTATTAGTCAATCAGCCATTGTAAGTGCTAGATCACACATCTCAAGACATCAGATAAACCAGTTTGAAAACCAGCACAAGAAAGACGTGGAACTCTTGGAATGGGTCCAGAGGAGAGCCACTAAGATGATCAGAGAACTCCTAGGAAGAAAGGTTGAGGGAACTAGGCTTGTTTAGCTTAGAGAAGAGAAGGCTCCGGGAAGACCTCATTGTGGCCTTCTAGTACTTGAAGGGAGCATATAAATAGGAGGGGGAATGGTTGTTTACGAGAGCTGATAGTGATAGGACAAGGGGGAATGGTTTTAAACAGGGACAGGGGAGGTTTAGGTTAGATATTAGGAGGAAGTTTTTCACACAGAGGGTGATGATGCACTGGAACAGGTTGCCCAAGGAGGTCGTGGATGCCCCATCCCTGGAGGCATTCAAGGCCAGGCTGGATGTGGCTCTGGGCAGCCTGGTCTGGTGGTTGGCAACCCTGCACATAGCAGGGGGGTTGAAATGAGGTGGTCGTTGTGGTCCTTTTCAACACAGGCCATTCTATGATTCTATGAGAGATCAAAAGGTTAAAGGAGCTAGAGGATGTAAGGGGAAAAAAGAAAGGGAAACCCAACATATAAATAGAGACAGACTCTGCTTCTTTGTAGATGTTTGCAGCTCTTGTTTGGCTTTAGTGTTTTTCTTGAGCCTCTTATACTTAGTGTTGCATAATCCCTGTTTCCAAGAAAAGATCCAGTTGCACTTCACTTGAATAATAGAGTTAAGTGGATTATGGAAAAATTTCATACATGAATTGTGCTGAAGTGGTCCAAGAGTCTATTTATAAGGCTGTAAGGCACTGTGAGCTGACGCACCAAGTGCTGAGAAAATCCAATGATGTCATTTTTCCAATCAGGCTATTTAAAAGTACTTAATGGTGTATTTAAATTCTGCAAAGCAGAGGTTTTCTGAAAAGCTCTTGGACATAATATTTTGATTACTTAACAGTTGCTTTTCTACAGGCCAACAAAATGGGAAGTTTTAAAAATTTGCTGGATACTGTATAATGGATTATTTAAAATTGTCTCTTTGATTTGCATAGAAAATAAAGGTGCACTGTCTTCAAGGCATCCTTCTTCTGCAATGTGAAATCTGATATACGTATGGATTCCTCAGCACCTCATCTCTAAAACCTTGCTGCTACAACATGGAATGGTCCCGTGCATGTGTCTGGCATGACTTGACCTAGTGCAGGAAATTATGCCAGCAACTGCCACTGGCAGTTTCAGCTTTTCCCTTGGCAGATGTTCCTCCGCCATACACAAAGGTTGTTTGTATAGAACATGATGTGATGGAAGAGCTAAGCTTTTACATTTGACATGCTGGGGATACTGAAAGACAGAAGAGATTTTAGTTGCAAGAAGTAGGCAGGCCGTGATTCTGCTGGAACCCTGTCCCTGTTGGATGCCTGGTTCTGCCACTGTGCTACTTTGAATGGAGGGAGTCCAGCAGCCCTCTTCAGCTCAGTTCCATACAAGTATAATTAGAGCAGTTTATATGACACAAATTTAGAATATAAAAAATCTCAGACCTAATTCTGCCACTTGCTGCCAGGGTTGCTGTGTTAACTACTTATTGCAAAGATGCAGGAGCAGAGCATTTTCTTTCCAGGCAGCGTGTTAATCTGGTCTGTTTGTGTCTGCACTCCAAATGGGCTTTCTCTTTGCAGATTACATTGCTCCAAGAACCAATGTCTGCAGCAGTGATTTCTGTGCAGCAGAAGGGAGAGGGAGAAAAGCTCAGGCATGGACAAACTAGAGACTGGTTTTGATCCTAAATGATGGAGGAATGAAAGAACACTATTCTATTTTGGCTTTCTGTCTGTTTATTCCATTAGTAATACCCATTTCTTTAGTGTTTGGAAACACCCACAGTGATGGTAGTGCTGTGATTCTGTTTGTTGCATTATGTTCCTGAAAGCCTTGTTGTTTCTGCTGCTGTTTCCATTTTGAAAGAATCTATTAGCATCTGTGGCTGTATGTGCAAGCTTTGCAAATGCTGGGCTGTGTATTGCACAGTGCCCAGCAGAGCTGGAACTGTATTATGTGCGTTACAGTAAGCCTTCAGAACGTAGGACTGGGAACCTCTGGCAAATGCTTGCAGATAGCTCAGGGCCTAGGTAGCAGTGTGTCATCAGAGGAAACAATGCCTGAGGCACAGCTGCACTTCTGCAAGTGCTCCCTCCACAGGCACACAGTGTGCATTTCAAGACTTAGCAGAGGAACATCAATGAAATTAATAGTCACGTGTCTACAACGTTGAGTACCTTGCTGGACTCTGAGCTTATTTTTCTTAGAAGGGAGTTTCTAGTTTTTGCTGTTCAAAGTGTAAACACCAGTCAGTGTAAACACCAGTCACAGTGAAGTTTCCTGCAGACTGACTAACTGGTGTGTGATCTTCCTGAGCCGAGCGTTGACCACATTGCTCACCATCTCCTTACCTTAATGCCTTTGAGCTCAAGGCACTGAACTCCCAGAGGACGTGATGAGGAACATCCTGAGCAGTGGAGAGGACGTTACGTAATAGTTTGGTGGCTTGGCATGGCCATGGAGAAATGTGAGTAGTGAACTTGTCAGTGCGTAGATTTACAGGCTGCAGTCCTGCAGAACAGAGGCAGCAGTTCTCAGAGTAGTTGCTGAAGTGGGAAGCACATGTGCAGACCTCAGGGCAGATGTAGCTGTGGTAGTTTGTAGGTGGAGGAAGTGACAGTTCAGGGAGGCACAGTGGCAATTCAGGAAAGAGGTGCTTCCCAGCATGAAGGGAAAAAGTAGTTCCCTAATTTCTCCCTCTACTAAGGGAGGTGCTTGGGGAGTGGCTTTGTATTACGTTTAATTGAACCCAGTGTTTACCAGCACAGTCCCTGGAAGCCACAAGTTTCTACGTCGCTCAACAAGTGGGTCTTGGAATAGATGTCATACAACTGTAGCCACAATGAGCCAGCTCACTCCACTGGAGGCACAAGAAAACTGCTGCTAGGTTTTCACTGGTGGCTGAGATTCCTTTTATAATGGGAAGGTACCTGGAATGTTGTTTTCAATAGAGGCATGTAGCTAGAACAGAGTGAGAGCTGAGGTTGCTCTGCTTTATGGAGACGTTGCATCAGTGAGTTTAGGGCTACTGCACTCACAGCTATACTTTTTGGGAGGATGATTCTTTTAAATGCTTAATTAAAAGGAAATCGGATCGCTAGCTTTCTGATGTCTGTATATTAGGCATGTCATCCTTCAGAGTGGGAAATATACACAAGTTGTTGATAAATATACACCTGAATTTTACAATGTCTGCTACAAGATTATATGGTGGTTCTATCCTGTTTATTAAATCTAATATACTGTAAAAAGAGGGCTTCCAAGTAGGGTCGGGTAAGAAACATTGTTACAGCATAGATTTCCAAGTCTCTAGAGTTACTTTAAAGCTGTTTCAGGGGACACAACAAGGACAGGAGACATGTTTGGGAGGAATTCTAGCTTTTCAGTGGGTTGGAAGGGAAAGGCTGGCCCGTGATCATACACAGATGATGAAAGAGCACGTGGGAAGGAGGGGAAGCAAGAAGGGAAAGCCTGTACTTGGTTTGCCTGCCTCACAGAGATTCAAAACATGAGTAAAAATCTGTTTGAATGGAAAGGAATTCTTTTCTTTGAGACTCAGTCCAAACAATAGGATTATTTTTTCATTATTGCAAGATTACAAAAAATACCATGCAATTTTTATTTAGAAGTAGTGACCAATTTCAGTTCAAATCAGTAGGTTGGGGTTTAGTGTTATTAGCAGCTTTTGTCTGCTGTGTTGTGAGACCAAATATTTAACCAATGCTGTGGGTTTGGAGAGATGACTAAAAATAACACATAACAGTTGCTTGAACTGATTTATTTCCAAGGTGTAATCTGAGTCGCTGCTTACACTGCTTAAACTTCAAAACAAAACATCTATTTGTTACTACTGGAGAGCCAAAAGAACTCCAGAAGAGTTGTAGAAAATACATGTATCTATGATACATGTGTTCTACAGCAGAACATGCTAACCTGTAGTCAGACAATCCTGAACCAGGACAGCTAATCTATTTACATCCTGTTTACATCAAAGAAAACCATCTGTCTCATTTTTCAGACTATCTATTATCAGTAAATCCTAGTTTTGGTGAACAAGTCTTTTACAAAAACAAATAAAGAACCCCAACCTGCCAACAACAACAACAAAAAAAAAACAAGAAAGAAAAGCCACAAAAACCCAAAGAGTAAATGGAAAAGAATTGTCTTGTTTTGGCTATTAATTCCTCTATTTCATTTTCTGCTCGCTGCATTTGCAATTCTGTCAGTGGACTGCAGCTCAGATGTGTGTATACCATGCAAGTATTATTTTACTGAAAAACTCCATATCTGTATAATGTCACAGATTTCTGACAGTAATGAAAATTAGACTAGTCCTCTTGCAGCAATATCATTATGGTAAGTAGAGCGATTTAGTTAACTGGAAAACTACTTCTCGTGTATCACTGCAGTTTCTCAAGTATACCTTGCTCAGAGTAAGGGGTAGTCAGTATTCAGTACTTCCCTTCTTGCTGCTCTTAGTTCATGTAAGCACTGTTTAAATAGCCATCCCAAAAATATTATTCACTCTGCTCAAGGATATTTCTTTTCTGGAGCCATTTAACTGTGATGGTAAGTTGATGGCTGCCAGAAGCCTGGAAACTCAGATTTCAATGACAGTAAGAGAATTTTACTGGATATCAAATTTATCTTTGTTTATCTGAAATACAAGGCAATTAATTAAAAAAAAAAAAAAAAAAAAATTGATCCTGGTTAGGCAATTATTCTAGCCTGTAATGTTAAAGTATTTGACATTTTGGAGCTGTGCTATAAATAAACTCCACAGAATTGCCAAGTATCAGGTCACTAATTAGTATACATGAAGTTTCTGTGGCTAATACAAGAATCCTTCTTAAATTTCAGCTCCAGTGATGGATTCCAGGGACTGTTTTCAAACAGAACTTTAAAAGGATTTTCTGCTTTCCAGTTTATTCTCATAACCTTTCCTAAGACAGTGAAACTATGTAAAAACAGAAGAGCTTCAAGGCCAGGAACTGTACTCCAATTAACTTACTGTAAGCCACTTTTTTGGTGTATGGGGGCAGTAATTAAGGAAGGATTTTATTGTCTTCCCCTACAACTAGGTGAATTAATTCACTTATAACCTAAGTAGAAATTAATGTATGTTATTTATGTATATAAATTTTTTCCTGACTGGAAGAGAGGCAAGTCATGGTAAAAATAAGTAACTGTATGTAACGTTCTATTCTTTCAAGTGTTCATGCCCATCTACCTCAGTTAACAAGATAAAATAGGACTTGTTATTAATTGGATTTTCCTTTGAAAGGCCAGCTAATCTGTTTTCTTTCTGTTTTATTTGTTGCTATGAGCCTCTACCACCAATGCACTTCTTGTATGAGAATTAACAGATGCTTTTGCTGATGTGATGAGGTGTTCTTGTGCTGCTGTTATTCTCAGGAGGCTGAAGGGAAAAGGGGAATCATGCTTTGGTTGTAAAGTAATACAGGAACCAATCCCTCTTTCATCAAAAACATCAGTGAAGTTTCTGTTGCTTTGGGAAGTAAAATGCTCAGTCCCTAAGAAACATAATTTAAAACCATGATTGTCTTTTCCCATTCCCGTGAATGCTGGAAAAGGGTAACTTTCTGATCATTATTGGAAAGAAGTGTGAAATCAGGGGCTGCATGAACTCTTTCTGTGATGAACCTCTAGTAAGCTCTAATACTGATAGAAATTGAGTACTTAATGATGACCTGGAGGGGGAAAAAGCTTCAGAGATGCAGTAGGTCAAACCATTCTTTCCACTGAAGAATTCGATGCAGAGTAAGAGCCCCACATCCTTTGAGGTAAAAGCACGTCTCCTGCAGGGTCACTTAGAGACATCAGCTTTGGAGGCAGTTGTATTCAGCTCAATCTGTCAATCTGTTTCTTATCTCTAAGGCTGCAAACTTCTGTAGAGAAGAAACTTTGTTCTTTTCCTATACTGCCTAACAGAATGAAGCCCTGGATAATGAATAGAAGCCAGAATTGTTGTAGTAATTAAAGAAGTTTAGATGCCATTTAAGATTTGTCTTTTTCACCCTGAAAGACATTTTCTTGATTATTTTTCAAACTTGATAAAGCTGATGGAATTTGTCTAAAAGCCTTCTGCATTGCTTGGCCATGCAGAATTCACACAGATTTGGTTTCTGTAAGGTTTATATCTAAGACAGAATAATTGTTGGAGGGTAGTAGTAAACCTTGACAAGGAACACAGTAGCTCTTTTTTGGGATATAGGGTGAAGATTAAACCACTGTGATTACTGAGTGCCTAGAAGAGCTACCAGTAGTCGTATAACATACTGTGCAAACTCGGCTGAGCAGAATGGTTCCTCCACATACAAACTGGCGTACTGGCAGGGTGGAATGAATGTCGTCTTTTTAAATCATATGGAAATGAACTGAGACTGCAGTGTTTGTGGGTTATTTGGTTCTTTTAGGGCTGCTTTTTTTTTTTTTCTTTTTGAGTTTCACTGATTCTTTCTAATATCTCCTTAAAAGAACTCCCTATAATCTGTGATCACTTACTTTACGTAAGATCTCTTTATTTATGGCTTTAATACTGATCTTCAGAGTTGGATCTCTGTTTGTTAGTTGTGGTCTGGCAAAAGCATAGAAAGCTGCCCTTTGCATGTTTCTGTGCCACTGATGTGATGCAGTGCTGGGTCAGGCATTTCAGACAGCGATGCTTTTAGTATTGCAAGAAGAAAATTAACTGGCTTTAACTGGCTCTTTTGCTTCAAGTTTGAGGAAGATCCTTACCCCCTTCTGTCTGATTTTGTTCTTTCTTTCCTTTTTTTTTTTTTTTTTTTCCCCTGAGTGAAAACATAAATTACTTTTTTAGAATTATGGTTTCATCTGTGTCTGGCTCTTTTTTTCTGTTTGCTCGAGTCCCCAGAATTAGCAGGAGTAATGTTCTAGTTTGTAGTGCAGTAGGAAAGAATAACTTGACTTTTTAAAATGTAATAAACAGCGTAAGACCTGGAACAAGTACAAAACCTTCAGACAAGGTGAAAGCCCCCAGAAGAATACCTCTATTCAAAATGTCTGTGGATGTCTGCAAATACTGCCAGGAGCTAAGTCTTGTCCTTTTCCTTTCCAAACATGTGTATTAGGCTTTTCTTTAAAAATACATACTGTATCCTTGAACTCTCCCATGCTTCCAGTTAAAGAAGGTAGTATTTTCTTTAGACTAGTTGATTCATACGTAAAATAAAATCCATGAGACATTATTTTGGTTTTGGTTATTTCCCTCTTGTGATACTGGATGGAAAACAGCCTTTTTGGAATACTCAAGCTTTGGAAAACAGCAAATGTTTCTGGCTATTGAAGGTTTTTACTGTTGGCTGTAAAAATAATGTTTTCTTAATTATACTTCCTCTGCAATGAATTCATACCGTATTTTGCTTCCCTTGTTTACAAACTCATTGCTTTCAGCAAGGATCCTGAATAGATGGAAACCTACCTGTTTTACTTAATACTTTCATCTTAAAAACAAAAGAAAACAAGAAGCAAATTTCCTAAGGGGAAAACAGACTTGCAGTTACCTGGTTGACATCTTAGGAATTTTACTGGGTTTAAATCTGGTTCTAACTGAGGTGATCCAGCTTTGTTTAAAATTTCACATATCCTTTAAGACTTGTACGTACTGTACAGCAGATCGTCTCCTAATACTGTCAGTGTTGTCATGAGTTTCTCCTGTGTGTGATTTTTCATCCCCAGGAGCCAAGCTATCAACATACTGGGATAGCTTGGTTCCCCAGAGCAGCCTTTAGGGGTCTGACCCAGTAAGAGACTTACTTAGCTCAACAAAGTATTCTGTGCCATGCCATTAGTAATTGGATAAATAGCCTGATAATCTCTTGCTGTATGTCCATCTCAGAACTGTGGGACCCGCTGTAAAACAGGAGCACCCTCCCACAAGCATGTAGCTGTTATAAATCTACTTCCCTTAAGCCCATGTGCATTGAGCTGTTGATTCCTTTTCTTAAAGCATAATAGATCTTCCGAGGTAACTGTAGCTTGTTTCTTTTCTTTCACTGCCCTTTGTGTCTTCATTGTGATTTATGTTTTTATTGTTTTTTAATGGCACCAGCTAGAGTATTACCTTCTCTTGTCTATGCAACAAGACATCTGCTTTACAGACAGATCAGGATGGCTTTATTTTGTGTGGGGAGCTTTGCCACCAGCTTACCTTTCCATAATCCCCATTGGGTAAATGACTGTAGTTAAAACCTCTATATCACACAGTCTGTTCTGTACTCATCTCTAAATGGATGTGGGATGACTTGCATAATCTGCATAGCAAATGATAGTAATTCCTTCCTCAAATATAGAGTCATAGAATGGCTTAGGTTGGAGGGGACCTTGAAGGTCATCCAGTTCCAATCTCCTGCCATGGGCAGGGCTACCGCCCACTAGACCAGGCTGCCCAGGGCCCCATCCAACCTGGCCTTTTTTTCGGGGTCAGTGAGAGAGTCAGAGACTGACTGTTGTCTAATGTGTCATCTGTTCCACCTGGGTGACGCCCATGTGTTTGAACGTCACAAGTAGAGGCTAATTTTGTTAGCTGTGCTGTTGCCAGCAGCCTAAGAAGGATTCTTTGTGGCTCCAAGGCACTTATTTACTCTCTTTTATTTGGCTTGGAATCCTGGAGTTTCTTGTCACGGTCTATTGAGAACAATAGCAAAAGTCCTGCTGAAATTTAACTTACTGGGAAGGAATCACAAGTGCTATTGGATTTATTCTTGGATTGCCTTATGGTGTCACCATCTTTTATTAGATAATCTCATGCTCCTTAATGACAAGACAGTCAAACAAAGCATATTTTCTACAGCAGAGAGGTTGTCTCTATGGGAGTAGTTTTCTGTATTCAAAATCTAGGCAAGAGAAAATTCTTCCCCGGCCTCCAAAATGTGCATGAAAAGAAGGTATTCACATAAAGACGATGGCCTTGTATCTCATATAGCCTCTTAAATCCTTTTGGATGTGGCAACTCCAGAAATCCATCTAAGTAATTTTCTTTAAATCCATTCTATATTCTGCTTATGACGAAGTCCCATGAGAATGGCTGCAAGAGGTTGGAAAATGAACTCCACTGTGATTCATATTTGAGATCAGAGGAAAATGAAGGACTTCAGACCAAATCCCAGAACGTGCTCAAATGTGAGATATTTAGGATCGAGATCTCCGTATTTGCTTCTGTGAAGAACTTGGACTGCCTTCAGTTTTTAATCAGTCTTGTAGAAGAAAATTCATCAAAAATTGAGTTAATGTATGTATTATGTGTATGTATAATGTATGTATTATGTGAAGTAACGTACAAGTCAGACTGTAGAATGATTTTTTTTTTTTAAATGTTGCTTGGATGTTTGTTTTGGTTTTGTTTTCTTTTAATATTTTGTTTTGTTTTGTTTTTTTGTTTTTTGTTGTTTGTCTTACATTGGCAATAATCTCTTTTTTTTAAATTATGCTAAAGATTGACTACTGGTGGTACTTGCGACATCTGTGGGAACCATGGGGGTTGGTTTTTTTTTCTTTCAAGCCACTGGATTGTCTGTGGGAATGTCAGTATACCATATAGAGAACTGCCTTGAGACTGGGCAATCTCAGAAAGAACTACTCTGGGGAAGGATGTTTGCCAGATCTTCCTATTCAGGGAGAAGATCACTGTTCCTGTTTTTCTGGTTTTCCAGCAGTCTGTATCTGTTGTTAACTATCAAGCCCTCACCCCATTCCTTGAAGTGGGTCTCTAAAATTCAGCTAATAAGTCTACCTATTGCCTTACATGTAGCTTTGAGGCAGAAAATACCCACTGCACTATAGCAGGCTAACATTAAATGGCTATTTCTTATGAGAAGTTTTGTAGACACTGCAATTACAGCACCTGATATTTGTTATGTCTGGTCTAATTCTGAAGACCTTACAAGTTGCTAATATTTAAAACCATATTTACTGAATTTTATTAATCTGAAGTGGCTCATTTCCACAATAAATTGGGGAGGTAAGTAACCCCTGAAAGCCTAAAACTTGTTTTTTCATTTTTAAATCTTACAGTTAATATTTAAAGGGAGGGGGAAAAAAAAATACAAATACAGACCATCTGTGAAACGTGGAAAAATTAAAAGCTGCAACAATTAGGTTCTCTGGGCAGTGGGCCATAACACAACTAAGCATTCAGCCAGCATGATATAATTATAAATTAAACATCTCTAAATAAAACAAATTCTGAGTTGAAAGCAAAATAGAAATCCACTTATTTATTTGTGGCAGAGGGACACATTAACTTCAATTTTAGAAATCGGCAGCCATTCCCCTATGTACTCAAAGGTCTGTGGTGTCTGCATGTTCGTGGAAGGTGCATTTCCTCAGGCTTTGGTGCCTTATTGGCTCCATATTTCAGTCAAAGGAGACTTCTGCAGAATTCAGGGAAATTTACTGCAGCTCTGGAGTTCTCAGTCTTTTTAGAGACGCTGCACAGTGATACGTCATTATATTCTACAATTATGACATATAGAAATGTGCCTTCTGTTCTTGAAAATGGTATACACTGTCCTTCATAACAATTTTTATGATCATTTACTGCTGTATTTCCAGGAGGAGCAAGAGTAACAGATGGAAACTTTAGTTACTGAAAAAGAAAAGCTGTGAAAAGATCTCAAATCTTGTAAATAAATGAAATGGATGCTGACATCATGTTTAAGATAATTGCAGAGCATTTTCTTTCATGGAAACCTGGTATATATTTTGTTTTCTACACACACCTTTAGATTTTTGAGGGAAATGTTACCCATTGTTTTTCAGGTTAGATCCACATGTTAAGTAGATCCTTCTTCATCAAAGCCATAGATATTCATTATAATTGCAGATGACTATGATAATACTATATAATACTATATAAACATTCTTCCTGTAGGTCAGATTCTTTATGAACATCCAAACATTACAAAATTATTGGAACTTTCAAAAGGATTTTTTAAATATCTTGTCCATAATCTTAAACATTTAGTAACTTACTATGAACTTTTGAGTAAGGAAAACTGAATTAAGAGGCTCAAATAGGAGTGTAAGCCGATGGCTTTTAAAGGAAGACTAATCAACTAAATTTTCTATGGATGTTCTAAATCACTAAGGGTGTATGTGGCAAACAATTTCTGTAGAAGCAAATGTAATTTGAGTTTTTTGTGCTTGCTACATATGATATCAACATAGAAGTAACATAAAACATAGAAGTGTTTTATTTTGAAACTTCAGTCTTAATATTTTCTTATTTTGATACCATAAAAATATGATTTAATTTCAGAGTTCTGATATCTGATGTGTCTAATAAGCTTTGTTTGGATCATAACATATTTTGTTTCCAGTTGTAAGCCAGTTAACTGACATTTTTTCTGTTTTCTTCCACTTATCTTATTTAAACAAAGCTGCAGCATTCATAACAGCTTGCAGCTGCTCATTTTCCTGGAAAGAGTAGGGGAGTGGAGCTCTGAAATAAGTGTTTAAGTATATATAATACATACATATATATATAATATGAGGGCATTGTATTGTAGTCACAAAGGTTCTGTTTCTTGACTAAACAGGTAAGGTTCTTAGTCCTGTTTCAAGGTGATGTAAGTGTACTGCCAACGTATTTCTTTACTAAAAGGCTCTCTGGGGAAGAAATTAGTATTATTTATGTCCAGCCTGTTCATCTTCACGCTCTCAGCTCTTCCTTTATTTCCTAGGTATGTTAAAGCAGTCAGTCATAGTACTGCTATCTTTCAGCCTGTACTTTCTAGCCCCTTGCCATCTGTAAAATGATTCTCAGGATTTTTCTGGAGTTGATTCTTCTGTGTGCGTTGTGGAATAATGTCAGCAGCAGCAGCACAGAGCATTTGTGCTTTGTCAAATTAAAATGACAGCTGCTGTTAATAACAATTAAAGCACGTTAACACTAATTGCATTGCTGATTCTAATGAAATAAAGACCTCCTTATTCACTGGTAGTGAAGTAATCCTGATGTAATGTGTAGACTATCAAGCAGCCAACAGTAGCTGTGACTGGAGAAGGACAGTGAGTTCAACTGACTTCCCCTACTTTCAATTCCCCAGAGACACTATATTGAGATTTTTCACCCTGAAGTGGATACAAAATGCTGAGTAAAAGGATATGACGTAAATTGGCTGGCGTTTGCAGTGAACTAACTAATTGTTGTTGCCTTTTAATTTTGTTTTGTGGATGGATGGGTTGTGTCTCATCTAAAAAAATGATGTCTGTCTGCCCGAGGGAGAAAATTGGGTGTACCAAAAGGCTTTTGCTTGGTTTTATGCTTTCCGTGGGCTGTAGCCATAGTCCCTGGAATAAAAAATGTCTTCTTTCCCTAACCCTTGGGAACTGATAATTAGCAAGGTAACAATGCACCGAAGGGAGATAGAAGGAAAGGTGTTATGGCTGCATCTTTACTCTAACCCATAGCATGTTACTACTCCCATGCAAAAGGCAGCTGTATCTGCAGAAGGGCCAGCACACCAGATTGGTGTCTAAAAAGAATGGCCATTCTTTTTCTCTTCTCATTAATTAGGTATCTTAAATAAATAAATAAATAAATAAAAATAAAAAATTGAGGTTATCACGGGTTTGAATCATTGACTTTTTGTGGGCAGTGGACATGCAGTGATTTCTACTGAACAGATAGATTTGAAAACCACAAAATGTGTTCTAATGAGTGAAAAGCATGCCTTGTGCATATCAATATGAACAGAATTTATTTGCTGTTGTAACTCTCCTCTGACTTGTGCTTATTCTTTATGCTGCTTTATTTTATTGCACATTCTTAAAGATTTTTTTCAACAACTGAAGTTTCCTAGTGAAGATCTGATGGAGATTTCTTCTTTAGAAGGCAGTTAGGAGCTGATGTCTGTGCCTTGCCTTTAATTTATGATGTATTGGAGATAATGCTTTTAAAAGTGGGGAAATTCTTGACAGGACAGTCAAGATAGCTTGATCTTCTGCAGACTTGAAGTCAACAAAGTCAACTACAGTGGAGCAGGGATTACAGCTAAATTGCTCCCAGTACTATTGCTTTTCATATGCTTAAGCCAATAGATCAAATTCAGACATGAGGTAAGCAAATGCAGTTTCTTTGTTTATACTCGTTTGAATTCTGACCAATTCCATATGGTCAGCTAAGTTAATTGCATACAGTTTGTTCCAATGTTTTCATTTCAATGCTTACAGCATGATTTGCCTTTCTTGTGTGTAACCATACTGGAGAAGAGCCTTGTGTCTGAGTGGTAATATAATTGTTTTTCTAATTATCTCACATGGTACTAATCCACACATCATAACATACGTTAAATGTATAGATTTATTTTAATAAACCTTACATAAAGTTGACCTAAAAAGACTGAAATACAAATAGTTAGAGACTATTTGTGCTGATCTATTTTGGTGGGTGAATATAAGAACAAAGGTAACCTGCTGTATTAATTTTAATGATCAATACTACTAATTTGTGTCACCACCTCAAATGTGGCACCATAATACAGTTTTTGTACCTAAACCTCTACAAAGACGTGTTTTGGACATGTTGGAGCAATGGAGTACTTGCTCACACCTTTGTAAAATTTCAGAGGCCCCCTTTTTTTTTTTTTCTTCTTATGAAAAATTACATCCATCTGTTAAGTACAATTGCTTAAAAATAATTGGATAAAGCTACTAATTATGCTGACTATAATTCTTTTATGGAAATAATTTCATCAGCATTTCTTTCATATAATTATTCAATTCCCTTTGCTGTCCTAGAACCAAGGTGTTACACATATGTGATAGGGTCAGAACATCTAGTAAGAACTGACAGAAATGTCATAAAACCAATTGCTTCCATGATGAATTGATAGAGTTCAGTAGATCTTTAAAGGACTTAGATTGAGGTGCATCTCTGCACTGCAATTTTAAATGCTTAATTTGGGGACCATGGGAGTTGTCTGGGAATGGAATGTTTCAGAATACAAGCAAAATGGAAAGTAACTTTGGAATTAAGTAATGCTTAGTGATGAACATAAAAGTTTAAGGAAGAATAACAGAAAAGACTTTACTTAAAGTGTATTGTCATCAAGCTAACCACTCCAGTGAAGTGAATTTAGTTATAGTAGTCTTGCAAGACTGAAAAAAGGCTTTAAATAGTACTCCTGAATAGATCCAATTGACCCACTGGAACATTTACTAATTGTGTATGTCTGTCATGTAACACATGGCGGTACGGTCTTAAACATGAAATCAAATTAGTTCAAAATACTAGTTGATCTATTTGTTTAATGTGATCACAGATTTTATTAGATGACTAATCTAATTTTCTGATGAAATGATAACTCTGACGTTATATTGAGCCTTTTAGTGGCTATAGGCTCATTGGCAGCAACTCGTTCCTTATATTTAATCTTCCATTTGTTCCCATATATGTGTTTTTCCCCCTCTGCTATCTCTAGCTCCTGCAAGTCTTTTTTTGTTTTTATGTTTTAATGTTACTTTTAACTATTTCATCTATTTGCCATCATGGAGCTGGGAGACCTATTCTAGAAACCAGACAAGGGCACCTGCTGTTAGATGTAGCAAACTAAGACACAAGGATGACTATGGGAAAGGAAAAGAAAAAGAAGAAGGGAAACAAACAAACAAACAAACAAAAGGTTGTTTTCTGGCTTTAGTAACAAAATGCTCCTGGGCTGTATTCAGCAGGTTCATCCTGTTTTTTTTTACTGAGTAGCTAATACTGTAGAAACCTGACTCCTGTCTTTCTGGTGACTCTTGGGATAAGATGACAAACTGCATTCCTCTTCTCTCACAAGTGAAGAATCTTTTGTTTCTTAAAGATCACGGTTCTCTGCTTCTCTGTTGTGTTCTCCGTTTTGCAGCCTCAATTGGAAAAAGTATTTATATTCTCTGTGTCCCTGGTGAGTTTATCAGGACTGTGGAGATGGTCCTTGTACCTTCTTTGACTCTGGGACTGTTCCTCTACAGAACTCCTCTCAGAAGAAAGCTTCAAGATGTTTTCAAGCACTGGTACAGTTCAGTTCTAATAAGATGTTCAGTTTCTTAACAGATCTGCTGAAACTAGCAATTCATGCACTAATTTATTTTTCTGTGGAGTTTAGATGATGCTTTATTGATTTCTCATTTAGAAAAAAAATGAATTGACTTTTGAGAACCACAGAATTCATTGTAATTGTTATGTGCATTGTTCACCAATAACTTGGGGTGGAGGTGCTAACAGTGCTATTCTCTGAAAAGAAAGCAGCTGAAGTGGTGGGAAAAAAATAGGGAATTTTGGAGAATCTTGGTCTGAAGTTTCTAACTTGTGACCTTACCAGATTGTATGTAATATGCTGTACTTGGACATGCAGGATGATGACACAGATTGTCAAGTGTCTTGAAACTAGCCACTCATATAAAAACACTAACAGAGAAACAAGTTTAGTGATAAACTATATTCTTAATCTGAAAATAAATATCAGAGTTCGGTATGTTAAAAAAGAAAAAATGTCCCAAAAAAGTAGCTCACAATATATAAAGAAGAAAGGAGAAGCATTGTTCAGTGACTAATAATGCCTTATAGGCTTCCAGAGAGGTGCTATTTGAAGGGTGTGAGTCAAAAAAGAATGTCATCTTAAATTCCAAACAAATAGGTGAGGTGGCCTGGGGATATGTTCTGTGCATTTCTTGTCTTCCCTCTGCTGGCTTCTTGCTGTGCAGTGAGACATACGCAGGCCTGCTGACTTTCCCTTTGCAAAGTAAGCTCTGTGCTCCCTGCTATGAGGAACAACATGGTGGTAGTTTCAGACTGGCCAGGGAAGACAAAACCTAAAAGGAATGATATCATCGCTTTCTCCTTTCTTGTATTTAGATCATCCCAGAGCAAATTTTCTTACGTCAGCAGAACTGAGAAAGGATGTTGGCCCTGAGATTTTTAAATGCTACTTAATGCCGGCATAGTTTGGCTAACAAACTGTGGTCTGTGAAACTGACCGCCACCACCCTCAAATTTATTTTCTGGACAAACAAGAAGTTTTTCATCACTGTGTTTTGAAGAGTTGACCCCCAACAACTGACACCCACAAGGCACGCTTTGGCAGGCTGAAGCTCCTCCAGGGATCCATTTAATCTGCACAGCTGAATATGGATATGAGAGATTACATCTTCCTTTCTGCAGGCCCACACAGATGGTGTGAGTGACTAACAGATGCCTTGATTTTTGCACAGCCTACACACTGATGTCATAAGAAGAGACTAATACCTCGGAGGTGAGTGTCCTGTTTGTTTGTATTTCAACATCAACAGTATGAAATGCAACAGTGGATAAGAAATTAGTAAAAGAAAAGCCAAATTTCATATTAGGAGAAACTGACATAAAAGATGTGTAACACAGTTAAGGGAATCATCAACACTGGCTGCAGTTGCTGAGAATTCTATGCAGTAGTATCTCCTTAAAGAAGGAAGGGTTTTGAAGTAAGAGATGTGATTAAAAATGATTTTGGTTTTCCTGCCTTTTTGTCAGACTGGAGTTCATGCATATTTGAAACTGAATAGTTGAAGCTTCCTCTTGTTTTACAAAACCTTTAAAGAAGCCTTGTGACTGACTTTTTTTTTTTTTTTTTTTTTTTTAATATGTAATTCTTAAACTGGTCCAGATGCTTCAGAATGACTTCCGTTAGAACTTCTGTTATTGAAGGGCTGGAAAATAGCTGAAAGGAAAGTGGCCAAGCTAGCTTTTCTTTTTCTCTGAACCCTAGTTTTGCATTCTGAGGACAGTGGGACCCAAAGCGACATGGCGGTCTGGAGTGGTGTTTGGTCCCCAGGGCTGGTTTGGGCTGAGAGAGAAGTGCAGAAGAGTGGCCTGAGGAGCAGGGCTCCCACCAGAGCTGGCTGTGAACTGTCCAGTGCTACCTTCTCAGTTAGATCAGTGATGTTAGCCTTATTTTATAGCTGGTTGTAAACAGTAAGTGCACTACGTAGACAGGTGATAGTGATGCCCAATCAGATGGGACTGGGTGAGAGTGAAATACAGGGAGGTGGGAATACTGGGAGGAGGAAAATTGTTAAGGTAAAGAAGGGGTAAAGTTTATGGAAATACTAGGCTATAGAGTTACAAGAATTGGCTGGAGAATGAGAACATAGGCTTTGAACTTCAAGAGCAGAAGCAGGAATTAAGAAGATATGGGGAAAGAAAACCTAGCTATGGAGCAGATGGCTAGGAGCCATAGTGAAATGCAGAGGAAAAGTAGTCCAGAAGACAGATCTTGGCATGAGCTGCTGAGGAAAGATTTAGAAACAGGCTAGAAACCTGTGACTGAAAGCAGAGGATGGGAAAGGAACAGGGTGGGGACAAAGGATGAGGAGATGAGACAGGCTGGAGGTGGAGGGTGGATCAGAGAAAAGAAAGGAAGACAAGTCTGTGCCTATTTCAGTGTCCTCCTAGTTTTTATTCCTGGGTCTCCAGAGGATTACAGAGCCTTTCCACTTGGCTTCTGTTGTAAGACAGTGAAATACACTACTGGCATGCATATGTTGACCCCAATTACTGTTGCTCAGTAGAGTGGGAGACAACCCTTTACTTTTAATGTCATATAACTGTGGCCTGTGGCAAAGCTAGTGGGCCCAGCTTCCTCTGCATTATCAGCTGATAACTAACTTTGGGTGTCAATAGAGATTTTGTGAGTTGTTGGTTAAGGCAGATTAACAACAGACCAGGCATCACATAAAAGATTCAGAATGGTAATGTCACCTGTAACTCCTACTTTTCATCTCACTGTCTCTGTTGCTTGAAGTTTGCACCTTCAACATTATTTTTAAGGCAAAGTTAGCTTTTCTGGCATAGATTTGTAGCATTACAGGGATCTGAAGAGTTTTCCCAAATGCCATCTTAACTATGAAATGACTGGAATGACACAGTTGGCATTTGAACAGGACAAGGTTGGTAGCTAGCCAGCCACAGTAAAGCTGGAGTAAAATTCTTCAGCATTCACTGGTGGTTTTTTGGCCAGGAAATACAGCTTCTTCAGGGCAAAACAACATAAAAAATAGTAAAGTATGAGCAGGTTCTTCTTCTGTCACTTTGCAGATTATCTGCTGTCTTGTGTGTAAACAGCAATATCTTTACATGGAAGTTCTATTAGAGGTAAAGAAGCACAATCCATTTTCACATCAATTTAATGTCAGTGGGATAAGAAGTATGTGGCAACATGGAGGCTCTTTTCACTATTCACTTTGTTCTCAAAGATGGCCACATTTTTCACAATGTTTCCATTGAGTGTTGCATTTGATAAAATTGGTGAGGGTAGGTAGTAGGGAGGCTAATTCAGGCATCAGGGAGAAATGAACATGAACTAAGTATGATTCTTATGTAATCCATATTGCCTCTGCAGTTTAATCTCCCAGATGGCTGGAAGTTAACTATTGTGAGCCAGGTTTGAGGTAATAGCCTAAACATTATTGGGAAAGTCATTTATTTTTGGCAGGAAACAAATTCTGTTTTGGTCCGTGGACAGAAGATTACAGTTTTTTAAACAGCCACAAAGAAATGCTCTGAGCTTCTCTCCAAGAAACAAACAAGGTTTCACAAGAGCCAGTTGGCTTACATTGCACTTACAGTACTTGTAACTTCAGATATTGTAAGAAGTGTAGGCTTGTATGTGATAATGTTAAACTTACAGACATGTAGGAATGATTGTATAGCTGATGAAAGGGAGAGCTCCAAAAAGCTTCTCACTTAAGATAGCCATTGTGTGGATAGGTGAATTGGGGTGTGGTGGAATAGTAATAATTACATCCATCTCAGCATTAAATGGTTTCTCAAACTTGTTTGGGATATTTCTCCCTTGCTAGAACTAAAAGCTAATACAGCACAAGACTACCTGATATCTTTGCACTTATAATGTTCCAGGGCCTGTCTGTCTTTCCCCAAATACTAGTGTGCTAGTATCCTGAACTATATTTGCAATAGATTTAACATGTTGACTTACTACTGGAATTCTGTTTGTGTTCTGCATGTGATGCTTGGTCTGTGACCTGCTGCTGTGTGGTGTTGTACTCTGGGGAGCCCTACAGAGGAGCCTAGGTTTGGGGATCCATGGAAACAGCCCTGAAACAAAGAGAAAACAAACTGGAGAGTTGTGACATGCCTTCTGGAGTACTATCAGCAAGTACAGATTGTCAGCAAGAGAGAGATTTGGGATTATGTTTTCTTTGTTCTAGATGTTTTCAACCTGCCAGCTAATGTGTTCTACAGAGGTAATGTGAAACAAGATTTCAGTTGATCAAGTGGTAGAAAATAAATTCATGATATAGTAAAATAACATTGTTTATTTTGTAACATCTCACTGATCTCATCTCTCCTCACTCTTAAATGCAAAATGACAAAAGCTGCATAATGCGGTAACTCCTGTTCCTTGGGAATAATCTTTTTTTTTTTTTTTTTTTTTTTTTTTTTTTTTTTTTTTTTTCTGTATTCCTTCTGAAGTTAGTTTGACCTTCTACTACAACATGTTAGTGAATAGGAAAAATATGTGCCCTACCTACACCTATATTTTTATATATGCAGTCCTTTGAATGATTTGACTTGCTGCAGAATTAGCCCATATGGAAGTTTTGAATCTTAGGAACCTTATAAGACGAGAAAAAGTTGCAAGAGGAAAAAGATTCAGCCATAGTTCTTCCACTATTTCCTGATTGCTTGCTAGACTGTGTAATGTTCTGAGGTAGACATGTTTTCCCAGAGTAGTCTTCAGTTGTTGTGGAAGTCTTTATACTGAAAATATTTAGAACTGTTGCCAAGTAGAATTGTTGCAACTTATATCTAAGTAGCCTTGTTTGAGCAGAGTTGTTGGATATAATGAAACTAACATGTCTGAGTAATAAGCAGAGACAGTTGCTTTGGGACCAGTGGCAGGACTACCAATTTCACATTAAACTGCCTTGACTTAGAGCTGGTCAGAGTCACCACTACAGTGCAGATAGGAAGTGCAGCTGGACCAGAAACTTCCAGCTCCTGCCTTTCCAGTGGCATGAGATCAGGCATTCATTGCTGCTAAATGATGATATACAATTATAATGTAGTGCTGTGAGAAAGAAGTGGATTTAGGATTGCTCCTACTAAGGATTTTCTTACCTTAACAAATGTGGGTTTCCTTGAAATCCAGTGTGAACTCATATTCTTTGAGTTAACCAAGTTTAATTTCAGAATGTTTTTTAATTTTTTTTCTTTTCCTAGCATATTCTCAATCTTGACTTTAAATTGATTTTGCTTACTTTTTTTCTGGAGTAATTTTGCTGACTTATTGTATTACTATATGTGATGTAGGTACAGAGATCCTAGATGCGTATACACCAGAGGGAGAATGGTAACTGCTGATTCTGAACTTTAACCTCTGTAATGTTTCTTTTTAGAACATTATTTCTTGTTTTAGGTCACTACTTTACTCTTACATCTGCAACAGCTATCGCTGCTTCTAGACAGTCTAGTTCTTTTTCCAAGTGCAATCATTTTGGACCAGAACAAACTTGATTTACTTCCAATTTAAGCCTCATCGGTTTGTTAGTCCTCTTATCTTCAGCCATCTTGGCCTGCTATATTTCCAACATCAGCCATTTGTAAAGACAACCCAAAACAAAGCTTTGGCCATATGTGGTTGTATTTGAACTAAGCATATATTTGGAAAATTTTGTTTTAGAAAGGCATAGCAAGTGTTCACTAGTGCTTTACAGGACTGAAGTATTCTTCTGAAATGGAATGGAGACTGTAAGAGGTTTATAACAGGGAGGAGATAATTCATTTGTACCAGGGGAAAAAAAAAAAAAGATGAAGGAGGAAAAAATAAGCCTCTGTTTAAAAACAGATATAACAGATAGTGTTATAAAGTCATCAGAAATGTAAATGAAAAGCTGAGCTTATGTTGCATGGAAAAAATATATCTGCAAGAGGACTTTCTCAGGCAATTAATAATATGAATTAATACTTAAAATACAGAAACTTTTTGAAATAAACTGCACTTAAAATAGTAGGAGAGCAAAAAATGAGGCTGCATTTTATTGTAATGAACACTTAGAAGACAAATTCAGACTGTTAGAGGGAAATCTGTGGCTGTATGTTTCCGTCATACAAAGCAGATGAAGCATCTGAATAAGCTGCTGAGAATGTGAATTTTGACTCACAGTAGAAATATCAGCTGTGGATGCAGAAGGAATTGAGCGTTCTGGGGGATAAATTCCTACTGAATTCTTAAACTCATGCTCAGACATTGAAGGAAAGAAATGTATTTAAAGTTAAGCAGTAATATATCTCTAATACTTGGAGGCATTTCCTGCTGCTGTGCTGATGCAAGCCATGCGCTGGTATGTCTTAATGGTGGGAAGGTGGTTGAGCTGAGGTGTCCACGTGACCCGTTAATTTCCATTAGCTTTAATTTTCTTTACAAAAGTGAGGGCTTTTTTTGTTTCGTTTAATTTTATGGTCAGTCAGATCTTTCTCAGGTTAATTTAGCACACTTCTCAAAGATCATCTGCAGCCTTTTAATATGTGTGACCAACACACTGTGCACACACGGTCCCAGCACAATGAAGGACATAGAAAGGGGACTGAACTTTTTGGGGGTTGTGGTATGGCAGGATTTCCAGTATCTGCTGGAAAGTCTGGCAAAGGCATAGACCTGGCACTTTGGATTCAAAATTAAAAAATAAAGGAGTAACACTGATGGAGTTTGTTACCTTTAATCTGTAAAATCTCAAAGATTAGTCTTGCATTTCTCAAGGTTTTTTTGTTTTGTTTCTCAGTAACCAGGCTAAATATATCATTTAATTTGTTTTTTTGTTGTTGTTTGGTTGGTTGTTGTTGGTTTTTTTCTTTGTTTGTTTTCAGGTGTTCTGAGGACGATGCAGTTGAGAGTCTCCAGAAAATTCAAGCATTATATTACTGAATAAAAGCCATGTTTGGATGTGCATTAAGAGCACCTCACGTTCAGCATGAGAGCAGTGCTAGACAAAGCCGGTTTTTCTCTCTAAGAGGTATGCAATTAAAAATCTAGCTGTGTGCTAAACAATGCAAGACAAATACAAAAAGGTAGACAATTTAGATAAGTGGAACAGGCTAGAGAATAGAGCTTTAAGATTTGTTTTTTAAGTAGAAGGAAGGTAGGGTTCAAGGCATTCTAAGGTGGACTATGTTTTAAGCAGGCCATGAGAATGTGAGTAAAGGGGGTTGAAAACAGGGATAATTAATGGCTTGGGTGGAGGGGAAATTGCTGTACGGGTGTAATTGTGTGCCAGATCTGAGCCAAGGAAGGGTGGTGGTGGGGATAATGTGGTCAAGGTCACAAGAAAGGAAAATATCAGTGCCAAAATTGTTTTACTCAATGTTAAGAGGAATATTAATGACCATATTACAAGGCTGGAGTGCAGGAGAAAATAGTATGGAGAAAATAAAAACTGACACGTTTTCTATTTGAAGATGAGAAATGAAAAAAAAACAAAACAAAACATATATTAGAAAGAAAAAGAGTAGTGGGACAGATCTTCAGGTGAGTACAAATAGCTGAGAGAGCATGACCTTCCATTCAGCTCTGCTGTCTATTTTGAGGTCACACAGCTATAAGTCCTATTACCAAGTTTCTCAAGAGCTCTTAAGCTCCATACATTGTAGTGGTAGTCACTTAGAGCTGCACAACTTGTTAAAAGGATCACTTGGTAGGGAATTTGAGCTGATTAATGGTAAGTTGTCCTATCATTGCTGAGCTGGTCTCTCCCATTCTTCCTTACAGATGCATCTGGAATATATCAGGGCTCTCTCTTGTAAAACATGCATCCAGGCTTCCAGCCAGCTGAGAGGTGCTGCTGTGGGTGCTCCCAGCATGAGCTCACCTCCTGCCTAGCCTGTGCCATCCCTCAGCCCCAATGGTAGAGTGCTGTGGGAGTGCGTATGGCCTGATGAGAGAGTATCAGCCATGGGTAAGCAAGTCTATGAATGTTCACTCTTTAGAAAAGTGTCTATTTTGTTAAAGCTTCTTGTATGTTTAAGAATGATGCTTTTTCCCCACTTTCCCTTTACCTATGTGAATAATTCCCCCTTCTTAGAAAGAGAGGACATTGGAAGAACCTACACTGTGTTGACAAAAAAAAGTCCTGAATGCAGCTTCTGTTGCAAAAGAAGAACAAGAGGAAACCAGGAGCATCTCTCCTGTTGGCTGAGACTGTAAAACTCTTGGGTTCTGTGATAGCATTCAGATTTCAGAGAAAAGTAGCAGAATGCATCAGAAATGACTGGGCAGCAAGAAGCAGGAGCTGAGGAACATAAAGATGGGGGTGCTGGTGAGCAAGGTCAAAAGCCCCCCTGCCTGCAGCACGACTAGAGGGGTGGCCAGCTGACACCAGGAGACCCTAGGCTGCGCTGAGCTCCCTGTGCTACCTTCCTTGTGATTCAGCCTCCAGAGTGAGGGTGTGGGGACAGCACTGCTGTCACCGATTCTGGGAAAGAATTACAGCTTATGGCTTGCGAGGGATCAGACCTGGGGGAACGCTGACCAGCAGCAAAACTACTCTGGACTAGCAAAATAGCAAATAGTGTAGGCTGGACAATGTGTATTGCTTTTGGTTCATGTCTGAGTGTGAGCTGCAGCATGTTGGCTCTGCAGAATGCAAAGACCAGTGCTGCTGTATGGGCTGGGATAGGACCAGGGCTGCTGTGCTGCCACGAATCAGGAAGGCTCTCCCAACTTCCCAGGCACAGGTGTGGGTGTGCTGCTGCTGGGCGTTGCAGAAACAGCCTCTGGGCCGAGCAGGTGTTTGCAAAGGTGTCTGCCTCACAGCCGGGAGGTGTGGGGATGGTAAAGGACGTGCATTTTGGGGTTAGGTACAGCGGTGGGGCTGCCAGAGGGCCCTTCCAGCTGCCTTGTGTTGCTTTTGGAGGTAACAGGTGCTCGATTTGCCACTGAACGGAGCGGAGTGAGTTTGTCTCTGTTGTGCGTGTATGGAAGTGAAGTGGTGGTCACCGTGCGGATTCGAACAGCGCCATACGAGCTTATTATCTTAAGCATTTTAATACAGCGGCCGCGTAACTCTCCGATTTAATGCTCCGTTCAAAGCCAAGGGAGACGCCGCCCGCCCCGCAGCCCGCCCTCTCTCCCTCGCCCCATCATCCCGCTACCGCCGAAGCGGCCCCGCCGCCCCCGTGTCCCCGCCCGGTGCCCCGGCAGCCAGCGGCCCCCGCCCCCGGGCCGGCCCCCGGGCGCGGAGCGGAGCGGGGCGGGCGGGGGCGGGGGCAGCCCGGTGCCGCGGGGAGCCCGCAGCCGCCGCGCTCTGCCCGCCGCCCTCCTGCCTCCATCCCGACGGCCGGCGGCGGCGTTGCGCAGCTCCCGGGCCGGGCCGCGAGGGGCCGGGAGTCGAGCGGGGCCAGGCCGAGACGAGGCTGGACGGCCGCGGCAGGGGACGAGCCCGCCCGGGGCTGGCGGCGGCGGCCGGCGGGGGCCCGGGGCGGCGGGGAGCCGCCGGGGCCCGGCGCATGGCGGCGGGGGCGGCGGGGAGCATCACCACGCTGCCGGCGCTGCCCGACGACGGGGGCGGCGGCGCCTTTCCCCCCGGGCACTTCAAGGACCCCAAGCGGCTCTACTGCAAGAACGGCGGCTTCTTCCTGCGCATCAACCCCGACGGCAGGGTGGACGGCGTCCGCGAGAAGAGCGATCCGCACAGTGAGTGGCCCGGCCGGTCCCTGCTCGTGCCGCGCGTCGCTCGGTGCCCGGAGCTGCACGGGCACCGCTGCCGTATCCCGGGCCGGCTGTTCTCAGCCTCCCCATCTTCTTCCCGCTGTGTCCCAGGGCTCGCCAGGTGCACGGGGTTTGCCTGTGCGCCCAAAGGTGTCAAAACTAGTTTGCGTTGCCCTCAAGTGGGTGCAGTGGCATTTAGCTACTGGCTCCAGCTGCCAGTAGCCAGCTGCCAGCTGCCCGTGGGATGCAAGAAGCTGGTGTTTTTCTGGTGTATGTCCTCACAAATAGAGGCATTCTTATTCTCTTATTACAGTAGTCAGGAACAGAGATGTAGATGTTTATGGAAACGGGGCTTATAGTGGTCAGAGCATATCACTGGCTGAAAACTGTGGATGGTGTGATTTATGACTGAATGTGGTAAGGGCACACAAGGTGCAGCTGCATCCTGTGGTTCCATAGCAGCAGCTTGTCCCCTGGTACCATGTCCCGAGGAGACCCTGAACAGGCAGAGCGGGCTGCTCTAAAGGCCAGTGCTCCGTGTCTGATCCTTCCTTCACACCTCGGAGCATTCTGTAAGCTGTCAGCCCTCAGGTCTTCTTCATGTGGCATCAAGTCTGTGAAATGCCTGTTTCCTTGCAGCAGGTACAAGGAGTTGCTGGTTAGCTGTCAGATTGACAATCTGAGCACAGTTGTTACACAGCGCGAGCGCCGTGAGCAGGCAGTGCCCTAGCTGCAGAGCCTTGGTGCAGCAAACAGGTGAAATGCGTTACTGTGATGCTTTGCCTGATTCCAAGCTGCCCTCCCAGTGACAGTTGCACAGGTGGGACCAAGGCCTGAGCGGTGGAGATGAGAGTGGTGTGTGGGCACACAGAAGTGACAAAAAGCTCTTGCTCTTCTTATTCTGTTCCAGTTTAGGACGTTCACCATCTGCAAAAAAAACGTCTTGGAGTTCCAAAGAAGCATTGTAACAGACTGTTCACAAATAACAGTGTTGCCAGGTTGGGCTTCGCTCTGACCGTTTGCAACTTCATGATCCTTTGGTAAAAACGTTTGGCAACAGATGGGGTGAAGATGCTTGTTTAGCAGAATGTGTGTAGGGAAAGTTTATTAGTCCAACTGACGCTCCCAGAAAAAGCTAGGAAGCTTTTGGGCTGCATCTGGTATGTTTGCATTTCTCTCTTTCTCAGATACAGTTTTAAAGGGAGATGTGCTCAATGTTGCATGAGCAATAATAAAATACATTTGCTGCCAGAACAACAGGGTAAATCATAGGGCCTGGACTTCTCAAAGGTCTGTGCCTAAAGCATGTTGCTGGTTTACCACCTACCAGCCAAAGGTCTGCTCTGCATTCATACTGGCCAGTGTCTGCACACCATCAGGTCTGTGCTGGAATGAGTACAGTAATGCATCGTCTTCTCTAGCCTTTTCTATTTGGGAAATGTGGAAATTCTTACCAGAAATAAGTGTAATTTGTTCATAAAACAGGCAATCTTATGCCTAGAAGTAGCTCTGGGGATTTGCTGGAAATGTGACACGGAGGGAAAAGACAACTCGAGTGTATTGGATGCTGAAGGCAGGTCTCGGATGCTGCACTTGGGTTCTCGCCTCACACAGCATTTCAGCCTTGTGTGCTGAAAAGGGTTGTGAGTTTGCATGCTGCTCTGTGCTCACCGGGCTGGGCCAGGCTGCCCCAAACACTGTCCTTCTTGTTTGTGGTAGGGCTTGCCCTTGTTGCCCCTTCTTTTTTTATTTTTGAATGTTCTGCCACAGTAATTCTAGTTCTGTGTTCTTGAGTCTTTCTAATATGTGCTTTCATTTCTTGTTAAGCCTTATCAATAGTAGAATTGTTTAACTGACTTCTCATGCTGCTTTCCTACCAGTGAATTACAGGTGAAAATCTTTCCAGTGTTGATACTGCTGTACTGATTCCATTCTGTACACTTCCTTTAGAAGGCTCTTTTCCTCTTTAGGATTTGTGGTATAGCTGATGGGCTGGGATGAGGGCAAATATGTGGTACACTCCCTGTAGGCTGCTCCCTCTTTCCCTGGTGTCAGGCTGTGCACTTGCTCTGAGTCTCACTCCCTCCTCCTCTCCTTGCTATCAGACAGCTGTTTTTTTTTCTTGGAAGAACTCAGTTCTCAGAAGCAGAGAAAAGGGAGAAGTCAGTGCTCAAAGCGTCAGCAAGGCGTGTTGCTGTGACATTACGTGGGTCACATCTCTGCCATCTTCGTTGTAAATATGTCACTCAGTGCAGCTATGTGCAGTGCTAAACTCTGACCCGGTGAGTGCTGCTCGAGGGAAGTCCCTCTGAAATCCTGTGGTATGCCTGGCGGGTCACAGTGGCGTGACGGCTGGCAGGGAAGTGCCGTAAATCTTGGACAATGTGAAAAGACTTCAAAAATTAACAAAGAAAGTGCACACCTCAAGCACTGAAGGTTTTATTGGATTAAATAAAAGGTTTTGTAAGATAGTTTTGAAAAAAGAAATATAACGGCTGCAGAGAATTTGGAGTAGGAAACTAACTATAGGACAGCTAGGAGAGGTTGTTGGGAGAACTGCTATTCTTATTCTTATTTTTTTTTGGTTGGTTCTGTGTGGAACCAGGAGCTGAATGTGATGATCCTCATGTGTCCCTTTCAACTTGGGATATCTTACGATTCTAATTATACAGAATAACATTTGATTAGCGCATTCTCATTTTCACTTTTGAAGGAAGTTTGTATGGCTCTCTCTGTATGTTTCAGACCAAAGACTAATACTTAAGCTATAAACGAATTTCCATTATCCATGTCCTTCTTTTGCCTCCTCTGTTCTGCCTTAAGCACTAATGACAGCTTGTTAGAAGTGTACGGTCTGGTTTATGTCTTGATGTCAGGAGTTTTGATTGTTTCACACTCATCCCATTCACTTTAGTTTATTCCTAATTTTGTCGTCAGTGAAATGAAGGAATGGAAGTTCATGCCCTGTGTGCTAGAGGAGTCGACTCATGATTCACGTAGTGAAAAAGCTGGACAATACATCTGAGACGGCCGATATTGCCACATCTGACGCGTGTGTGTATTGACATCAGCAAAGTACCCCTTTGGACATACCCTAGGGATTGCTGTTAAGTAGCTTTGGTTTTTTTTCCTTCCAAGAGGTACATTTCAGACAAACAAAAAACAGAAGAGGCTTTCTTAGAGTTTTGTTGCCTAAAGCAAAACAAAAAACCACGTCTTGTTGTTGATCAACAACTTTTGGTTTATGTTGTGGAAAAGTACAAAGATCCCAGTCTTTTTGGAAGGGTTCTCAGAAACTCTCCGGAGGTTTTTGTCTCAAAGAGACTGCAGTGCTGGTGAAAGGGAAAAGCAAGGGGAATGGAAAAGGAACGTGTATCCATACATTTTAGAAAATATCTAACAGCACAGCTGTTTTTCCTTCAGTTTCCCTCACTGAGGAATGGTTGGCATTTGTATATTTCCATAATTTTTCAAGTTGCTTTATTTCATGATGAGCATAAAACAAGGCATCTGAGGAATCCAGAGCCCCTTCTGTCCACTTGTTAACAAAATGATGAGACTCCAGTCTGTCACTCGGAAGGGAGTCAATAGTATGAGCTCCACCAACCCTGCAGATGTCTGAAATACCTTCTTTTTGCTCAGTAACTGGCTGCCTTTCAAGAAATATCTCAAGGAAATGTAAAGTAGGGTAATACTGGTCCAGGAAAATTTCTCCTTAAGAAAGTTCCTTTCATAAATACTTCTGAGTTTATTTGTATCATGTGCAATATCTAAATGATCACACTCTAATAGTTTTTGAAAGAATATGTTCAAGTATATACTGACTTTAGAGCTTACCAGCTTTGACAAGAAGATAAAAATATTGCAAAATCATGGTAATGAAAGAAAGCTAGGTGTGATTGTCAGAAACAAAGATTTTGGTGAATGTCAAGAAGTGTTTCAGTGTAACGGTTCAGCACCCAATGCTTAGTTTTTTATAACTAGGTGTGTAAGTTATTTAGGACTCAGATAATCTCCTCTCCCATTTTGGTTTCCCACTGATGTGGCCAGAACTGTTAACAGGGCATCCCGTTCCAAATCCTAACAGTAAATGAGAGATTGATTATTTAATTATGTATTTATTTATCTATCAGAAATCTGGCACAAAATGTCAGAATTTATTGTTTCTATTAAAGTCTCTCTGGAAACGGATTCATTTGGCATTACCTTTGATCTACTGCACAGACCTCGACTGTTTTGTCAAATACTGATTCTTTGCAACATGATCCATACAGACATTCTTCCTGGATGTAGCTGGTTTTAAGGAATGGGGTGAGAAGCTGATGGGGTGGGAGCTGAGAATGTGTTTCATGTATGTCTTTGGCTTACTTTGTCATAGAATTACTGTCATGTTTCCTGCATGGTCCCATAAGGGAAAGTAATGAAGTGAGAGGCAGACTGCCTGTGTTAGCTGGGCACACTGGGACAAGCGTGCTGCTAAGGGATGGGTATTCTCTGTTCTGTTATCATGCATGCTAATCCTCATACTCTGATTTTAGTGCTTCTTACCTGCTGCCGAAGTGTGTGGCTGAGCAGTGGGGGCTCTCTGAAGGTGAAGGGAGGCAAATAAGAGATGTAAATTGTCCCATCTCCCACCTGCTTTCTGCTTCGTGTGGATAAGGCTGGTTGAGGAGTGGAGGATTCTCAGGGCACAGCTGTCCGCAGGTACACTAGAGGGCAGGATTTAGCCCATCAGTGTTTTAACGGGCTTCACAGATCAGGAGTGCTTATATGGTACTTAAATATACGTCTTCACAGCAAAAAAAGCAAGTCCAACTCATGTCCAACATACCTGAATGGTAAATACAGATAATATTTAGTATTTTTACAGCATATGGCCAAGTTATGGAGATAGTAACAGAAATGCAAATTCTTGTGAAAGTTCTCTCTGATCCCATTATGTGGGTATATTAAGTCTGTCAGTAAAACTCTTTAGCTACACAAGT